CTACCTTCTCCCTCTCTTCTACCTCTTCCACCTTCTCCCACCATCCTCGACCTCCTTCCTCTTCTACCTTCTCCCCCTCTACTACCTTCTCTCTCCCCTATCTCCCCATTCCTCCTCCTCCTCCACCACATTCTCCCCCTCCTCTACCTCCTCCCCTCCTTCTCCACCACTTTCTCCCCCTCCTCTACCTCCTCCACCTTCTCCCACCATCCTCGACCTCCTTCCTCTTCTACCTTCTCCCCCTCTACTACCTTCTCTCTCCCCTATCTCCCCGCTCCTCGTCCTCCTCCACCACATTCTCCCCCTCCTCTACCTCCTCCCCTCCTTCTCCACCACTTTCTCCCCCTCCTCTACCTCCTCCACCTTCTCCCACCATCCTCTACATCCTCCCTCTTCTCCCTTCTCCCCCTCCTCTAAATCCTCTCTCCCCTATCTCCCCACTCCTCGTCCTCCTCCACCACATTCTCCCCCTCCTCTACCTCCTCCCCTCCTTCTCCACCACTTTCTCCCCCTCCTCTACCTCCTCCACCTTCTCCCACCATCCTCTACATCCTCCCTCTTCTCCCTTCTCCCCCTCCTCTAAATCCTCTCTCCCCTATCTCCCCACTCCTCGTCCTCCTCCACCACATTCTCCCCCTCCTCTACCTCCTCCCCCTCCTTCTCCACCACTTTCTCCCCCTCCTCTACCTCCTCCTATTTCTCCCACCATCCTCTACCTACTCCCTCTTCTACCTCCTCCACCTTCTCCCACCATCCTCGACCTCCTCCCTCTTCTACCTTTTCCCCCTCCACTACCTCCTCTCTCCCCTATCTCCCAACTCCCCCTCCCCTCCACCACATTCTCCCCCTCTACCTCCTCCCTCACCACCTTCTACCCTCCTTCTCCGCCACTTTCTCCCCCTCCTCTACCTCCTCCGTCTTCTCCCACCATCCTCTACCTACTCCCTCTTCTATCTTCTCCTTCTCCTCTACACCTCCTCCACCTTCTCCCACCATCCTCGACCTCCTTCCTCTTCTACCTTCTCCCCCTCCACTACCTCCTCTGTCCCCTATCTCCCAACTCCCACACATTCTCCCCCTCTACCTCCTCCCTCCTCTACCTTTTCCCCCTCCTCCCCCACCACCTTCTACCCTCCTCCTCGACCACATTCTACCCTGCTCCTCGACCACCTTCTACCCTCCTCCTCGACCTCCTTCCTGTACCCCTTTTCTACCTCCTTCCTGTCCCCCTTTTCTACCTTCTCCCCCTTCTCCTCCTCCACTACCTTTTCCCTCGTCTTCTACCTCTTCTACCTCCACCCCTTCTCCCCTCCTCCTCTCCCACTACCTTCTCCCTCGTCCTCTACCTTCTCTCCTTCCTCCTGTACCACCTTATCCCCTCCTTATATACCTCGTCCCTCTTCCTCTATTTCGATTCACGGATCGAATGATTCGATTCACGGATCGAAGCATTCAATCCGTGAATCGAATCATTCGATCCGTAAATCGAAGCATTCGATCCGTGAATCGAAGCATTCGATTCGTGAATGTTATATGTGATAAAATCAACCATAAAACAAAAAATCGAATTATGAAACAAAATACATGCCATAGGTTTGTGGCAAGTCAATGTAGACATTTATCTGAGTATTGCCGTTTTCAGCACTTTGTCCCAATCCACAACGTCATGAAGATATCAAGTCACGTGGGAGAGTCTGCATTTGCACGAGCCGTATGAGCGGTGAGGATGCACCCCATAGATGGAAGCAGAATCCAGGTTGCTGATTGTCTCAGTGACCATGTCATTGACCTTATCCTTGGCTAGGTCATAAACCATGTCCTTGGCTGTGTCATTAACAATGTCATTGTCTGTGTCATTCACAATGTCATTGACTGGGTCATTAACAATGTCATTGACTGTTGCCATGACTGTGTCGTTGACCGTTCTTTCGACTGTGTTTCTCATTCATCGTTTCATCGACTGTGTCCTTGACTGTTTTATTAAGCATGCCAGTGATGAAATCACTAGTTAATTTGACCAGGTTAGTGACCATGGCCTACACTATCATTCACCATTCCACTGGCTGTCTCCCAGACTGCATTATTGATCGTGTCTGAGACCTCGAAGGCATTTCGTACCAACGACCAAGTCACCTTGCATTTTCAGAGATTCATAATGCAGTTCATACATGACAGATTTCATACAGGTATGTGCTCACAGTAGATACACAGGGCGTTACACAAATTCCACTCTCAACAAGAGTGCTTGGAATTTGGCACGATAAGGGATACATGCATTGTGTAGAGTATTCACGTCACATACCCGTGTTAGCTCGTTCTTACGAGCTTTGATTGAAGGATCCGCCTTTTGTAATGTGTAATATATTACCATGAAGTGTCATGGTTTTAATGATATAGCATTAGTGTATAAGCCGATATCAGGGGTAATTAAAAACAAAATAAAACGTTTGTTTTTATTCACTCCTGCCAATGTTTATCAGCTTCAGGATTCTCAGAAGATTGGGTGTGCATGCTGGTTAAATCTGCATTCATGAGGAATCAGTCGATGAAATCACTTTAAGCCTTGCTAAATATATTAATATTATCTCCAGAAAAAAACAACAACACCTCATTGCCTAAACCTGCCCCATGACTTGGCATTAGTCTGTGTTCACCCCTGAACACCTACGTTTGTTCACCTTGGTGTTCTTGTAGGTATTTACAAGCAAAAGCATGCTTCTTCATCTCAGTAATATATTAATGCACAGTAGCTGCATTCTGAAGAGCATGTTGTAAAAGACTTGAGCAATATGTACTGTTTTATGTACAGTTACAGATGAGCAGAGACAAAAATGTGATGCATCATACTTATCAGAGGTCGTGTTTTGACTTTGGTTTTCCATGAGTGCAGGTTAAACTATAATGTGCCACGTCTTAATATATAACTTGCACTATATAACTTGTTGTTATAGGAACAATGTGTATACATAGAGAATTATAAACCGTTTAATAATAGATTTATTTCATCAATCAATAACAGTTTACTACGTATGTTTGTTTGTGGTCAGCAATTAGTTATTGTTTTCGTGTTATCGTATTTTATCTCTTCTCTTCTATGATTTTTCTTGTGGAGTAGGAAAGTCGTAATTGTGCTTATTGCTTTCGTGGATTTAGTTGGTTATATTATTATAACAGCAGCATGATATTTTGTATAGGGATGCAAAATCAATTACCTAATCCAATGGGGTGAAATTTAAACGTTTTATCAAGTTTGTATATTAAAAATCACGTAAAAAATAGGGGCACCATGTTAATAGATCCCAAGCACGCTTTATTCAGTCTATTGTCTTTACCTCTTAGTCTATCCCATGTTACATTAGGATGGTCGATCCACTACCATACTGTAGTAACAGCTAACATTATATTATATGGTATACAGTTACTTGGGTTTTCCCGTTTGGGTGTATTGTGGTGCATGTGAGTAACAATTGTTCGTCGATAAAATGAGGTTGTCTTATTACGCAGTTTCTTCGTTATTATTCAGCATCACGTTGGTGTATTTTTACGTGTAGTCATATTACTCGTTCACTGTTAGTTTGATTCTGTAAATAAATTTTTGTTGAAAATTCACAGCAAATTTTACTCATTATCTTTTACACTTCTCGACTGCAGGCAAGTTTTCAAGCAGTGCAGAATACAATCTAAGGTACAAAGTAAAGTAGAGGGTAATACGTGTGGTATTATATTGAATCAAATGAGTCAACGAGTCCAGATAAAACTGACAATGTATGTATTTACTCGTGATTTCATACCTATAATCATAGATATATACAACACAGGGGTTGTATATATCTATGCTATAATCAAATATATATTTACCAAATTAATACTTAACAATATATCTCTAACAAATTTGTTTATCACGTATTTAAAGGCAAGATAGTCATAACCCATTAAGGATATTTTGACAGCAACATTTGTATAGTACATATTTTCAAGAGTGCGTAATAGAGCACTCTTGATATTTTGTATTAGTAACATTTCTTGGAACTTTGATGCAATAGTGACCTCTACTAGAACCTTATAATAATAATAATTTTCACCGATGTCTTACAGCAATAGTGATGTTGACTGGACTCTTGCTGCATTAGTTTTCTTGATGACATGTAGATGACATCTCAATCAAATGGTCCCGTTCTGTGAAAACAAAACAAAGTTACTCTTAATTATGGCAATAAGATAATATCAGGAGTGAATAATCATAAATAATCTATTATTATTCACACCTGAACATACAATGAAATGTCAACATAGAATGTAGAGAAACCCATAAGGTCTGTGTAAATTTCTTGACCAATCATTGCATAGTATAATACAGTCATGCTGTAACACAGTCACACTGCAACACAGCCACACTGTAACAGTGACACTGCAACAGAAGCTGCGTTCACACGAGGATTTCAGTACCGTACTGAGCGTTCACACGGTAAAATATTCAAGATTTATAGCGGCTTAGCAGCACGGTATAAAATAGGCGAGGCTTACTCGCTGCGGAAAGTGATTCCGCGCTGAACATTCGGCAGATCGCTGTGCCGCGTATTGTTTGTCGTGTGAGCAATTCGAGGCCCTACTGTATCGCTACCTAGACGGTACCGTTTTCGTACAACGTACATTAGTGTAGCGTGTTGGAAACTGTTTCCGACGGGGTACAGTCAATATTATTACCTAGCAGCTAAGCCAGTCGATTCTCGTGTGAAGCTCCGGGTTGTGTTGAACGGTATTCTCAGCCGGATTCACAGCACGCAGATAAGTCGGAACCCAGCGAGGCGTGATCTCGTGTGAACGCAGCTACTGTAATGCAGTGACAGCTGTAAACACGCCACACTGTAACAAGTGCACTGTCGTCCTCGTTCTCGGGTCACTACAACACTCGGCCTGGCCATGCAGCACCAGGATTGGCACGGTGGTTGAATGCCTCAAGGTCCAGGCTAGCAAGGTCTGTATGAGGGGGCATTTAGGAGATGTCCCATATAGTCTGGCCCTCAGGGCAGTCCATTCGGTTGGGCCATTATCCCGTGTATCCATTTGTGCATGAGTGCCCTGCCTCGACCAAACCCTGTCCTGAGGTGATTTTCGGCATAACCACGTGGCATGCTCGGTTTGCTCCGGGTGAGGAGGGATTCCTGGGGTCTGCGTGAAATGCTTGATGATTTGGCTTGCCTGAAGATGCTTGACATTGGCGTCCTGTTTTGTTATTGGAGGTTTGCCATCGCAGGGTTGCAACGGCGTGGATGAAACTGTGCCTGGACTTGTTCTTCTGTACTGTTTCATGAATGGAAGAGGGGGTGGCTGCGGGTCAGTTTAGCTCATAGGGACTTGACATGTCAAGATGAGCTATTGCCAGGGTGTCATCTGTCGTACGCGTCATGCCGTCAACATTTGGCACGGTCAACGATAACTCAAAGAACGCGTTTTGACCCCACATGTTTCCAATTGCAGTTATAGGTGTTTACTCTGCCATGGGAGAGGTTTGAACGTCTATTTTGGAGCACGCCAGTCGACCTAAATTCGAGCCACGTCAACTTTTTGGCAAAAATGAAAATGGCCATCTAGATTCATTCGATTTTGTTAAATTTTGGTATATGAATGTGTAAGGCTAGCCCTAAAACAGTTGTTACTCCTATGGGAGAGATGACAACGTCCTATTACGTTTATTTCGTCTAACTGGATAATAACTCTACAATCATACCTATATACGTGTAATATTGTGTTTTAAATTCTTCGTTACAGTAATTTGACTGGAATATTTTATTGTTTTTATTTACGCGATATTCGAAAACCAAAATGGCGATCATTTAGGCGTAGATCTGAAACATTTATTTTCGCATCAAAACTTATGCATATATCATTATCAAGAGTATATAATGGGAGATATGCTATATAATGGGAGTTCTCCCATATATACTCTTGCGTTATATATCCCCCCCTCCCTCTTCTATCACACCCAAGGTGAGCTACAGTGTCATTGACACTTTCATCTTGGTTAAGTTTCTCGACTTGGGATAAAGCCATTCGTCTAACGTGTGGAGGAGCAATGCCACAGAGCAGCTAGAGGTCATCTACGTTGGTTGGTCTCAAGCATCCAGAAATGGCTCTGCAGGCAGTGTTCAGAACTGGGTCAATTTTTGCAGCATGGGGCGACCTACTCCAGACAGGGCACGCATATTCAGCCGCAGAGTAGCACAGGGCGATAGCAGTGGTTCTGATTGTCCTGGCGTCTGTTCCCCATTTAGTAGTGGCCAACTTCTTTAGAATACTGTTTCTGGCACCCATTTTGACCTTTGTCTTGATGATGTGATCCTTGTAAGTTAGAGAGCGGGCTAAAGTAACACCTAGGTAGACTGGGCTATAGATATGTGTCAGCCATTTCTCATACCATTTGATTTTCAGTTGGCGGTTCGCCCTCTTGTTCTTTAGATGGAAGGCACTTATTTGTGTTTTCCCGGGATTGGCTCGTAGATGGTTTGCTGTGTAGTAGGTGATTAGGCCTGCGAGAGCATCGGTGATGGACCGTTCGGCTTCGTCAAAGGACTGTTTCTGTGAAGCAATGCAGAGTTCATCTGCATAAAGGAAACTCCTGGTGTTTGTGTGTACTGGCTGGTCATTTGTGTATAGATTAAAGAGCAGAGGGGCCAGGACGCTTCCTTGTGGAAGGCTATTTTTCTGTCTACGCCATCTGCAGCGGTTACCATTGAGATCCACGAAAAATCGCCTGTTTGCCAACAGGTTCCTGATTAGTTCTGCTAGTCCCACATCCTTTACTAGCTGGTATAGTTTTTTGGTTAGAATTCGATGGTTGACTGTCGTAGGCTGCGGAGAGGTCAACAAAAGCTGCTCCAGTAATTAACCCTTTCTCATACCCATCTTCGATGAACTGGGCAAGGTTAAGGAGTTGGCTTATACAGGATTTTCCTGGTCTGAAACCTGCCTGCTCTGGGATGAGGAGTTTATCCATGTAAGGGGTCGAACGGTTGAGAATGAGTCTTTCGAATTGAAAGGTGTTGTGAAGTCTTTGGTATCAACGACACTGACTGTAACACAGTGACACTGTAACAAAGGGATACTGTAACACAGTGACACTGTAACACAGGGACACTGTAACACAGTGACACTGTAACATAGGGACACTGTTACACAGTGACACTGTAACACAGTGACACTGTAACACAGGGACTATAGCCGAGTTCAAACGAGGATTTCAGTACCGTAATGAGCGTTCACACGGTAAAAATATTCAAGACTTATACGCGGCTTAGCAAGTACCGTACTGAAATACGAGGCTTATTCAGCGCGGAAAGTGATTCCGCGCTGAAACAACGGCACCACGCTGGCCGCGTATTGTCTGTCGTGTGAATGCAATTCGAGGCCTCGTAAGCCGCGAAACTGTAGTGCGCTTACCTAGACTGGTACCCGTTCGCCACCTTCACTCCGGCACTGTCCGGAACTGTCGACCGGGTACCAGTCTATATTATACCTAGCCAGCTAAGCCTCGATTCTCGTGTGAACGCTGCGGGTTGTGTTAGCACGGTATTTCAGCCGAATTCAGCACCAGATAAGTACGGAACCAGCGAGGCCGTGAATCTCGTGTGAACGCAGCTACTGTAACACAGGGACACTGTAACACAGTGACCCTGCAACGCAGTCACACTGTAACACAGTGACACGGTAAGATGTTGCAATATATGTTTGCCTATGAATTGACATACTGTTTAGGCAGCTTGTCAGTGGTCCAATGACATAGCCATCTCTTGTACTGTCACCTGCCTCCCGCAAAACGTCTGAAACATTAATTTATTCAGTAGAAATTTGTGTTTTAATTATGTTAAATTACTGTAAATGTTAATGAGCTGGTAGGAAGATCTACCACAACTGTAAGATTACTGATGTATCAATTATTGTTTTAAGTACCCCTTAGAAATAAGAAACTGATGATGTGAGAAGTGTTCATCAGCACAGGTGAACGCACTACTCCACTATCCGACACTTACCGTTGTGTTCAGCGATGGCATCTCGGTACTGTGAAAGGTGCCTCTGGAATTAAAGATCAAGGATCACCATGCCTGCCAAGAGGTGATTGAGAGCTTACATGTGTGACATCATGTAGTAATGAATGCATGTGAGTATAGGGCCTGTCAGAATAGCATGCGATTGCAAGGGTTCACAATAATTTAATTCAAATTCGGATCATGCCTATTTTCTGCTCACAAAGTAGTCACGTACAAATGAAATTATCATATATAGCACTCATTTACACGTAATTAACTAGTGCAAAGAGCATTTCAATGATATCATATTGTGGTACAGCTACACCAAAACCCATAGAAATATCAGTTTGAAGAAATCATGTATTGTGTACTGAGCGCAGCAGCCAATACTTACAGAAGACTTGGTGATAGCTTGGCCCTGGAATGCTCAATACTGCCCAGCTGTGCTGCCCTAGTCCTTCTCAGTAGTTCGTAGTTGGCTGTTCGATTAACGTATTCCTGGAACTCTCGCTTTGCTCTCGTCTTGGAATGATGAGATTCTCTAATCTATAGTTGAAATATGTCAACCTTGTCAACTTTGTTTCCACCATACATGCATTCCCAACAACACCGACACTTAACAAACTTTTGAGTATTCTTCAGTAGTGCACAGTATCATGGACATATGTATGGAATACTATTCTAGCATTATATATATATATGTTCATGATGATATCAGAAGTCCATCAGCATAGATGTTGAAGAATCCCAATAACATCACTCATCATGTGACGATTACAATGACGTGTAATTACATTTTGCCAGCCTTGTTATTTATGCTCACATAAACACACACAGCAGTACTTCACATCGATAGCCGTATGAAAGCTATGATACACAGACACATACCCTTGTGCCATAGTCCACTAAATAACAATTATTATACCATGTAAGGCACATATTCTCATACAATAGAGCACATATACTCACACAAAAGAGCAGCTATTCTCATACAAAAGAGCACATTGCACAAGTACAATTGTTCTATAGCATACTAAACACATCCATTTTTGCTATAGCGCATTGCAGACTGAAGCTAACATGACAGTGCACTTCAGAAACCAGCGTTTTCACTATTTTGTTAATTGTAAGACTATCAACCTCGTCATAACAAGCTTTCTCATCTAGCAACTCCTGCTGTTGTTTTGCCTCCACCACATCCTGTTGTTTTCTGGCAACAGTCTCTGCACGGGCAAGGGTGGCTCTTTGCACAGTGGTGAGGGCCTCCTGGTCGGGGCTGATAGGACGCAGGCCCTCCTCTTCCAGCTCTGCTATGATCTCATTCCACACCTCACCAACCTAAATGCACCAACCATAAACATGGATGTTACATTTAAATGTATTAAATTTTATAAATAGGATTTACAAGGAGACTCCATTATGTGTATACATTCAAGTGTGTAATGTAAACTTACATTATTATAATTCATAGTACAATATTTCTAATGTGAAATGTATAACATGTTGCATAAAAATGAATGTAAATCAATGAATAAGAAACCCATTATCAATCAGCCATTTGTTATTACACTTGAATACTTGTACGTGTCCAAACATATGTAAATGATTTTACCCATATTACCTTTAAATCCAAGTATCCACGTATAAGCTCAAAGGTAATCTCATCATTCGGACAGAGTTCCTTACTCCTATCCCAGCCCACAATCGTGAATAGAGAGTAGATTTTGGCACGGACGTTTTCCGATACATCCACCACAGCAGCACTAGGGCAGGAGGCAGGAAGCAGGACTACCTCTTGTTGTTCTTGATCCTTCCCCATTAATGGCTTAAAGACATCTGGTGACAGAACATCAAAGAACGTGGCTTTAATGATTATAATGGCTGCGTAAGTCCTTTGATATATTACATTAATATCAGGGATACACAATGCCAAATTCTATTATAAAGTACTCCTGCTAGCCTAATATGATAAGATCAGGGGCCCGTTTCAATAAACATAAATAGTTATGACAATAACAAATCTATAAACAACTTTTGAACATTTAATTTCAAATGTGATTAGATTTAGATTTATGATGTCATAACTATTTCTGTTTCTGACAATGGGTTCCAGGTGTACAGAGGATTATTATGTACATTTATTAAAATTATTATATGATCTATCTAATGGTCGATAAATTCACTTTTGATGGGTAAATTTCCGTGGCCTTAGTATTGGATTCACACCTCTTATACATTTTATTTGTTATATCATTATATTGTTGTTGTTGCTGTTGCTGTTGTTGTTGGTGATGGCGATGATGGTTTTAGTATTATTATTATTATTGATTAAGAATATAGCACCTGCAATAGCACCATCCTCACTTCTTGACACTTGCATCTCAGACTCCTCCCTACGCCACAGCTGACAGAGCAGAATAGGCAGAGTGTTCTGCTCCTTTCCTCTCCAGACATCGAGATGGGGCACAGCGGCAGGGTTCAAGCACAAATCGAGTAAGCAGCCTAGGGTTAAGTTGTGCATGCTAGTTGGACACAGCTAAGAGAACAAACGAGATATTCTTGTTATCCATACCCTTCATACTTCACAGCCATTAAAGACAAATTAAGTACTGCACAAAGACCTACAGTAGTTATTTGGTGATTGTTGCTGCTGTTACTATATCTGCTGTTGCTGTTGCATCTGTTGCCAAAACTACGATTACAACTTCTTCTGCTGCAGTGAAGAGATCAACGAATTTGTCTTGAATTCAGCCATCCTGCTAGTTCTCCACAGTTTAAACATCTAGGTTGAGATCACATAAACTATTAACTTGTTTAATTCATACACACCTCCAAGCAATCCAAAAGCAGGAAAACACCTTCTGACTCCATGAATTTATCTTCAACAACAGGGCAGCCAACAACACAGGACCTACATAAAAGAGATCATAAAATTAATATGAAAGAACACAGAGGTGTTTTGGTTCAGTTATTCACGGAACGCCATACCTGATGAACTCAGACAATTAAGCTTTAATTGTCAGTGAACTGTTTTTAAAATCACAAGATAATCACTAAACATTTCACCAACACTATTTGTCTAATAAAACAACTGTGCATGGTTTAACCACCTACCACACACAGCCTATAATGGTAAGCATCAGTTGATTGTGACCTAGACCACTGGCTACTTTCTGTGGACAAGTCCTCAGGTAATAGATGAGAACCTTAACACCTTTCTCTCCAAATAGTTCCTATTGAATGGCATGCAGAGATGTACATTGATAACAGTAATAATGCTGATAATAACATTAATACACATCACATTTATAAGTGTAGTAATATATAAATATGCCATTACAGACTATTAATAATAACTTGTCCTCCCATGCTATATTCAAAACATCAAGCTAAAAACAGCAGAATAGCAAGCTGACTGCTAGCCACTTACATATACAATCACAACCTCAGACACATTATCTGGTACAGTGATGTGATACTAATTTAACTAGCGTTGCAATCAATAAATGCATTTTATGAATTGGTGTACCCGTACCTTTCTATGATTCTCAGTGTCAGTAAGTGAGGAAAGAATGAAGAAGGCTGCGTTTTGAATCTGCACTTCCTGCACTGTCTCCTTTTTTGAAATATTTACGTAGTCGTTTTGAAGAATATCTGCAATATATGACCATATTTGAAAACCAATCACCGATTAACATAATGATTAAATAGTATATATCTAAAGCACAAACTTACCAGAATATTAGATTAACCAATATATAGTTGATAATAATTAACAGATTTTTTTAAGATGCATTTTTATTGCACAAACACATCTACTGACCATATCAGGAGTGAATAATAGATAATAATAATCTATTATTATTCACTCCTGACCATATCAGGAGTAAGATAATATAGGATCTTATATACCTATATTATCTTACTCCTGACCATATCTATAGATATATATTACTAGTATAATGTTCAACTCATTTTAGCTACACTACAGCTACTCTTATTTCGACGGTTATAAATGCTATCATGTTATATGTGATTGTGATTGCCTACCAAAGGACATTACCTGTGAGTTGGCTAATAGCACCTTGGTCACACAAATCTTGCAGAACCTCCTGTTGCTCCGTGGCAGCCATACACCTCAGAAGATCTAGACAATGCAGTAGCTGCAGTTGCCGCTCAGTGATTTTGTCATCTTCAGTGTAAATTAAAACGGATTATAAATACATGGTATAGTTGCATAATCACACCAATTAATGAGCACAGCCAGGTATTGCAATAATAGTTTTTGTCTGATAAATGTGTTAGATGATTCTAGCAGTTAGGTGAGTAATTTCATATATCATTCTAACACACTGCGGCGACAAAGGGCTGACCATAATGCTTAGTGTAAAAATTGCAGTGACTCATTCTAAATGCTTAATTTATTCGCCATATGTTATCATGCATGTGTGCAGCAGGTCATTGGTAACAATAATTTCAAATTTACTAAAAATGTTGTTAAACATGTTAGGGTTAAAATATGACATGGTATCATATGAGCATCACAGTTATACGTTAAATTGGCAGCCCTGTTTCAACAGTGTTCTTAATGTTAACATGCATGCTGGTACTTTACAAAGCCCGACCAATCCCTAAAACTTGTATCAATTGGGTATACAGGAACTAGCGCCCCACATGGATGGACACGCTTGTATAAAGTCAAATATAAGTGACCAATAGGAACAAAGCCCACACAAATCGGTACCTGCACAACACCACTCAAGGTAGAGTAGCAATCGTGTCCCTCCGTGGCATGTCATATAGCCATCCAGGCAGAGTGGCGCCACCGTGCATAGTGCCGACATAGCATGTAGCTGCAGCTCAGCGTAATGCGCCTGGTTCCACGGCCAGTGGGAGGAGCTGTCGCTGTCGGCAGGTTTCACGAACGAGAATAGCGCTAGAGGTACCTTGCTCGCTGACATCTCCTGAAGATACAAAAAACACCACCGCAACATCGATACAATCCAACTATGAAATTTAACAAAACGATAATTAACCTTGATATCAGAGTTTAATGCTGGCAGAGCATAAATTTTATAACCTAAAATTTTTTATAACCTAAAATTTTTTTATAAAACCTTATAAATTTTATAAAAAGCATCTGCGATATCGATACCAACCAACTATAAAATATAATAAACCATAACCTTGATATCAGAGTTTAATTCTGGCAGAGCATAAATTTTATGGAAGAACTCTAGCATTGACAAATAAACTTTAAGTTAAATATGTTCGGTCATCACCATCAACATCGCCATTAGCATTACTACAATCTAAATATTTGATTTTGTGGAGAATTTCAACCTCATCATTATCATCACCACCAGCATCAGTAGCATCATCATCATAATTGTCAACTCCACCTACATAAATATTGTGATTTTGTAATTTGTTATAGTTTTGTAATATGTCACTTAAAATCTGCTTATAATGAGATTACTGTCAAGCTTGTCTATAATATTAGAATGATCACCAACCTCCATGGCTAGGCTGTTCCTGCACATCAGCACTAACATGTTAATGAGCATTTTCTTGAATTCAAAGTCTTCCTCATTTGATGTGAGCTTCAGATGCTTAACGAGGGCATGGTGGCTGCGCACCTCTTGAAATGTAGCAAGCACTACCAGCTGCCTGAAGAGACCAACATTCTGTAACAATGAGTGCAACAACAGCATTATCACACTCATCCATGACAATTAAGCCAACCAATGGCAGGGCACCAATTGTCAATGTTTGTGCCAAACGCTGTAGTCAATAGTCAAACGCTGAAGTCAATAGTCAAACGCTGTAGTCAATAGTCAAACCTGTGTATAACGGTCAGTCTAGAAAATTGAAAAGCGTCCACTATACACAAGTTTCCGTTCTATCTAGGTAACCATTGAAACAGATTTTTGCCTGTATCCATATCTATGATATCATTATTGCATATCATGATCAACTTGATGCAGAGTACTGGTGACAATTAACCGAGCTGGAAAGTCACAATGTGCGTCGGACAACACCTCGATTTCATTGTGATTGCATTGCGAGTTTCATTGCAGTTATAGATTTCATCACAGCTATGCAAGGATTCTGCATACACTTGCTGGCTATGCAACAATTTAAAGACAATATTACAATCATTACAACCGAATCATGCCATGAGATTAACCATAACCGTAGTCGTAGATTTCATCACAACTATATAACAATTCTGATTATTGTTGTCTGAGATTCACAGCGATTCCGGGACAGTTGCACGTGACCATTACCACAATCGACGCGTCAGGTCTAGCACCTGCCACCAGGGTGATGATAGCGAGTAGATCGTTGCGAAGCTGGCGTCCGGCCTCGTCGTGAGCCCCCGTCGTCAGCTTCAGCAGCGCCCCCTGAAGGGCTAAAATGCAGCTTTCCTTTGTCAGTTGCTCCGCTGCGCTGTCTGCATTCATAAGATATAGCAGAGAGATGTGAAATAAACAAACAAGATTAAAAGCACCAAGTAAACACGATTATGAAACAGCTCCACGGAAATTTGCATTGTTGCTTCAATGTTCATTATTGCTTTCATGGATGTAGGTAACGCATATAAAACACATGGAGACAAAGTAACCATGCCAGACTGGCGATTTGACAAAGTACTGGTAAGATGTCCTTTCACTTCTTGGATGCATTGCTATAGTTTAGGATTAATTTATTTATACAATGTATCATGCTACACACAGGTATATATATATATATATATATATATATATGCTAATACCAAAAACCCATGTACGTTCATAATAGGTTCTTGGTCTTAGTATCACTACTGTAGATAAATAGAAAACAAAGCTAGATCAATAGTGGTACGTAAGCCACTAAAGGACAAAACAGCAAGGAGTTTGGCAAAGTAGTATGCATGCATATATGGCAAGCGAACTGACCACCTCAGATGAAACAGAATGTTGAATACAGAATGTATACACATACATGCATGCACATGCACACGCACACGTATATATATACATACACACAGGCACGCACACACGCACGTAAACACACACACACACTTAACACAGCCACACTGTAACAAAGTGACACTTCGTCTTCTTCTCGGGTCACTACACTACACTCGGCCTGGCCACTGCAGCACACAGGACCTGGCATGGTGGTTGAAAGCCTCAAGGTCTCCAGGGCTACAGGGCTCTGGTAATAGGGGGCATTTCAGGAGATGTCCCATAGTCTGGCCCTCCCTGCAGTCGCATTCGGTTGGACCATCATCAGTGTATCCCCATTTCTGCATGAGTGCCCTGCATCGACCAAACCCTGTCCTGAGGCGATTTAGGCATAACCACGTCGGCCATGCCTCGTTGGCTCCGGGTGGGAGGGATTCCTGGGGTCTGAGTTAAAGCTTATGTTGGCTTGCCTGAAGATGCTTTGACCATTGGGTGATCCTGTAGTTTTGGAGGTTGCCATCCAGGGGTTGAACCACGTGGATGAAACTGTGCGTGGACTTTAGTCTCTTCTGTACTGTTTCATGATGGAAGAGGGGGTGGCGAGGGTCATTTTTAGCTCACCTTGACATCGTCAAGATGAGCTATTGCCATGGGGTGTCGTCTGTTGTACGTCCGTCCGTCCGTCAACATTTGGCTACAGTCAACGATAACTCAAGAACCGTTTGACCCACATGTTTCAAATTGCATATAGTTGTTACTCCTATGGGAGAGGTTTGAACGTCCTATTTTGGAGCACGCCAGTCGACCTACGTTCGAGCCACGTCCACTTTTTGGCAAAAATGGAAATGGCCATAAGTCAGTTCATAGGTCAGTTCACGTTCAACGGATTTTGCTCATTTCTGGTATGTGAATGAATGAGGACTGGCCCCAAAACATATCATACAGGTTTTGATTTTTTTTTTTTAATTACGCAAATTAGGTAGATTTTGGCAATTTCACTATGCATTTCAGTGTCTGCCTACGGTCAACGATAACTCAAGAACCGTTTGACCCACATGTTTCAAATTGCATACAGTTGTTACTCCTATGGGAGAGATTTGAACGTCTTATTTTGGAGCACGCCAGTCGACCTACGTTCGAGCCACGTCCACTTTTTGGCAAAAATGGAAATGGCCA